TAAAATGAAAGTTGTACCTAACTCAAAACACAATGGACCTAGACGTGTCCACGGGCCGAACCGGCTGGTGAACCGGTCCTAGCCCAGCCCGGCCCGAACAGGCCTTAACTCGTCCTCCTAAGGGCCTAGGGATGTCAATAAAACCCATAGGGTCAGGTTACCCACGGATTACCCGCACTTTTGGGTCCGGTAAACTCGAGATGATTGGGTTTCGGGTCGGTTAGGGTAGAACCCGAACCCCGGGTCGGGTTGGGTGCGGGTATAGTAGGCAAACCCATTACCCAACCCGATTACCCGCAACCATTGAATCATATATACATATATATATTTATAACTTATAATAAATATAAAAGTAGTCTTGTGTATTTTTAAAAATTAGATTATCTATTACAATTTTGATTAAGGATTAAATTTTTTTTATTTTTTTTTAATTTTATTATCATTTTTTGTTAATTGTACAATAAAAAAATAAATATTTAAGTTTAATATTATAATATTAAATTGATTATAAAAGATAAATAATCATATCTTATTATTTATTCCAAAAATAATATATTTTTTATAGTTTTTATTGTCAAACTTAGTTAGTAAATTATTTCTTACATTATAATTAATTGTGAAACTATTTTATTTTATTTTTCATATGAAATGAGATGGGTCGGGAAAACATAAATTTAAGACTCGGGTTACTCGTTTACCCGACGAAAACCCACTAACCCACCGGGTAAAATCCAACCTGAACCCGAAGATCACTAGCCGGGTAATGGGTCGGGTTTAGGTAGGGTAAATTATATGCGGGTCGGGTTCGGGTTTACCAAAACCCGTACCCAACCCGACCCATTTACATCCCTATAAGGGCCGGTTCCTTGAACCAGAACAGTAGGTTGCAGTTCGGTTCCTGTTCATAAACTTTTAGTTTTTGACCCGTCGGGCTGGGCCGGGCCGGGCGCGGAACACATTGTTTTTTTCTTTTTGGGTTTTTTAGAATTTTGCTACTTTGCCACCCTCCATTACACATGGTTGTAAACCATGTTGTAATGGAGGGTGACCATGTAGCATCACCCGGTTTTTTAAGGGCCGTACCAATCTGTAACCGTCCGAAACCCGCGCGGGCCAGTGAACCGGCCGGGCCGGTTCATATGTTTTTTCGGGGCAATCACGGGCCATAATAGTTGGTCACCTATAAATGGACCTCTAACCAAAACACTATTCATTCACCATCCAAAAAAGAATGAACAAAGAAATCACATACGGATTCAATTAAAATGATTTTTTTTTATTTTTTTTTCATTTTGTGTAAACAAGTTCTACAATACTCGTTTGCACTACTCCGACACTTTTTCTTTTTTTCCCGGGCCTCAATATTATGGCCCAGGCGCGGCCCAAAAGTCGTCACCTCTAAATGGACCTCTAACCAAAACACTATCTTCTCACCCTCCAAAAAATAATAAACAAAGATATCACATACATATTCAATTAAAATGGAATTTTTAATTTTTATTTTTTCATTTTGTGTAAACGAGTTCTACAATAAACTCTATTGCACTACTCCGACACTTTTTTTTTTCGATGTTAAAAACTGAACAACCAACGTCAGACTATGAACAAGGCTAAAATTACAAAGAGCTACCTT